ATGATAAGTATGTGATTAGTACAGTAATAATAATAATAATAATAATAATAATAATAATAATAATAATAATAATAATAATAATTATACAATTGGTCTGGTCCTCTGGTAGTTATAATTAATTTTTTTAAGATTTGGCATCCATAAACTTAAACTTCTCCTGTCCAGGCTTGAAGCAGGAAGATAGAAGGATGACTGGAAATAAAATAAACATAGAATTCACTGTTGGTAAAGAAAAAACAGACGGACAAATCTGGATGTTTCACTGGAAACTGGGCTCATGTTGCTGCAAGACCCATTACTGAAGAATGTGTGTTTCAGTATTTCATAACAGCCTTATGCGACTCCTCTGGACCAGAACCACAGTGCACACTTTATGCAACTCCAACACACAAATGAACTGCAAACAGTGCAGGTGACAAAAAGTCGACTGTTCACTGTGGACCTAAACACACTTTCCAACCTCATCCAAACCTAAAGAGTAAACAAGAAAATAAATGAATCTGTAAGTGACATTTAACACTTTTGTATCACCACCATGTTTTTGCTGTGGCTTTCAACAAAGGTCAAGTAGCATGTTGACATACCCACAACATTTTACTTTATTGTTCTTCTGTCAGCCGCTGCCCCTCTTTTCAAGGCTCATTTTTCTAGGTCTTGCGTCAGAGGAGAGCTACTTAGCGCTGGCCCCACTACAGCTTTGACCTAAGTGTCTCTGTTTTCCCTCCTGTTTTCTATGCCTCTGTTACAGTAAACTGTCTCTTCTTCTCGGCTGCCATCGCTCTATTTCCTGCATCTTTTCTCAAAAGTTCTGCATCTATCTTCGTAATGACCGTTGTAATACTTTTTATCAGATTAGAAATGTGACTGGCAGACATTAAAGCCAATTATTCGACTTCAGCTGCTCAATTAGCTAAATGGTGTTACAATGCAATCAGAAACCTGCCATCATCTGTTACACTCCAGTCGACCAAATCAGCCTCCAGATGAAAGGATGAATGAAATTCGAATATGCTTTCAGAGTTCACTGAGTAACTAACTGGCAAAATGCCCACAGCCATCACGTGTAGTCAAAACTGTATTCATGAGGTGCTTCTGTGTGTTTTATGGGGCAGCTGAAGGTTAGTGCTCTCTAGACTGACACTGAAGAGTTTTATTTATTCCAGCGGACTCATCTCCCGTCAGAGCTCTGAAACTGGTGATTCGATTTCACTCTGTGCCAGCTTTCTAACACACACAGAAAAACACACAAACACACGTAGAGGAGTGAAGTCATTTCACACTTAAGACATTTAAATTGGAGCTAAATTGTGTTTTGTTTGAGTGCTGTCTGACTTTTATTCTCCCTCACAATCTAAAGCATGTACATATGCAATGAATATAATTTGATTAACAATATATCGACTGGGTGAAAGTGGGAAAATGTTTCAAAAGTTATAAAATTACATCTTTCTTTCTTGTACTCCTTTCTTTTTTCTAACTCCAATATGACAATACGAAACGTGGCATTGTACCATCTCCCAAATCCATACTACATACTTATTCTATGCAAGTTTGAAGTATATTACACCAGAAAAGTGAGAAAATGAAGTGCACACAATGCAGACAGCAAGCATAATAAATTTGAGTGTGCTGTTGATGGATACTTTTCTCCCACAATGCAATGCACAGAAGAAACGGAGAAGCAGCTCATAACCGGTAATAAAAATGTGGAACGTATATGTTATAAAACGCATTCACACATGCCCAGACACATAAACACGTGTATATTATGTTCATATACGTGTTTGTCCCTGCAAACATGAAAACAAAGCTGCCTTTGACAAACTCTTCTTTACGGGAAATTATAGTTTTCCATCTTACAGAGAAGGCTGGTGATGCGGCAGGCCCGGACACGCACCAGACAGCAGATGAGTTTGAAGAGGGAAGAAAGGAAGGCTCTATCCTTATTAATCTTTCCTTTGAGTCAATGCCTCTAATCAATACCTGTAAGTGCTCAGAAATGTGCTTTCCCCCGCTTTAACAAGGGAGACTTTTTGGTTCAAAGCTGTCCTTGAGGGCCTTCTCTGCCACCAACATTCGACCTAAAAAGCAGTGAAGCAGCTCAAATGTTCACTCCACTTTTTAAAGAGTGTGTTCATAATGAAAGCATCCAGTCTTAAAGGGAAATAGGTTAGCACTTAATTCCTGCCCTGTGTGGTCAATATTAATGTATCACTGTGCTGTTGTGATAACAAATGCTGTTAATTTGTGCAGCAGAGGCAGAGAACTGACAGCACGTTAATCTGGAAGTTAATCAGCAGGACTCCTCAGCAGTGGCAGAGCTCATCAACATGGTGTTAATAAAATGGCTTTTTAATAGCACATCTCCCTTCTTTGTGCACAACCAGACCGTGATTTTTTTACACTGTGAAGAATAAAGTGTTGGTGGTTTGTTAATCATGTGCTTCTTCATGCTGCATGCACAGAATACATTTATGATACTGCTTGCACTGTATTATGTTTGATTAATTGGGTTAGGAGCATGAACACATTAGCAGGTATAATATTTTCAGTGTTCACCATCTTACTTAAGCAAGTTAGCATGCTAAAATTAGCTAATTAGCAATATACACAAAGTAAAGCTGAGGCCATGTGTATTCGTTTTTCAGGTATTCAGTCATAAACTAAAGTATTGGACAAATTAAGATTTTGACCTGATGATGATGATGAACAAAAGTTATCAGTTTTATTATTTTAATTGATCCTGAGGGGGACATGACTGTCTGAATCAAATTTTGTGACAATCTATCTAATAGTTGTCGAGATATTTCACAAAAATGGTGGCAGTATGAACAGTCAGGAGATCACAGGGCAGCACAAGTTAGTAGGTGTCATCCTCTGGTCACCATGAATACAGTAATACAGCAAAATGTCACTACCTGAAACGTTATTATAGTATAGAATCTGAAAAACTGTGAAGACTTTATAATAAGAATCTGAAAAACCCTGAAGTCAAGTCGTTTTTATTTCTGACTCACAAGCTAAAGAACAATAAGTGAAAAGGTCCAATTTAAATATAAAATATCCATGACAATGAACTGAAAAACAAATAAAGACTTTAGTTTTTTAGTAATTGTTCAAGGATACCAAAATGTCACATTTTCCGCGATGGTAAATTAGATTCTGTAAATAATAGCCATTGTGTTCATTGTGTGTGCATGTGTGTGAGTTTGCTTGTGTCATTTTTCAGTTTAATTATGTGTGTGGTTCAAGATTGTTGAGTCGGGTTGGATTTACAGCTTCATACCCTGTGGGCTCAGATATTAAACATTAACTGTCGGAGGAGGAAAGCCAGAGGTATTTGCAGTAACATATTACACCAGTTTTGGCCATCAGCAGTGATATGGGATGGGAAACCTTCAGATGTCAGACATACATGTGTGAATTAATTTATTTATTTGCAATGTAATGGCAGATATAAGAAGTTCTGCAGCAGTATTTTTGGTGTCTTATAAGTCCATGTTTTCTTGGCCCTTTATGTGTAATACAACTAATAAACCAAACTTTAAGACAATAGTTCTAACAGGCTAAATGTACACAGTGATCCTGTGACTATCAGTCCTAAAGCTGCTGTTGTTCTCACGCTCATGCAGCTGTGGCCTTCTGTAGATAGTGTTTGCTAGTTCTGGCCAAATACAATGTGCCAAGTTTAAATCTGAAGATAGTGGATTGCTATACGGTTAACTACTAAATAAAAACAACTAATAATGTTAATTAATATCAGGCAACAACTGGAGGGGAGGGGACACAATGCAGCTGGGGGCACAAAGGTCATCACAGCCCCTAAATGCCCACTCATAGCACCGGGTCTGACGCATACAGACGAGAGTGGTATCAATCTTTTCATCTAACTCTCCACATCAAAACAAATAAAGGTGTTGTCTCAGGACAGCAGTCTGCTTTTTTGTTGTTGAGAAAATCAAACTAAATCACAAAACGTCTTCCGTGCAGCATTTGAAGTCAAGCAGATGTGTTATCGTCATTAATTCGTCTTCAACCAAAATTAGAAGATCATCTAAAAGTTTCCAAGGTTTGGGCGCCCGGTTAGCTCAGTCGGTAGAGTTGGCAACCCATGTATGCAGCGGCCCGGGCTCAAACCCGACCTGCGGCCCCCTGCCGCATGCCATCCCCCCGTCCATCTCCCCCCACCAAACAAAGGCACAAAAAAAAAAAAACAGTCTCCAAGATTCATGAACCTGCAGATGGTCTCTCCCACGTCAACAGAAGGAGCTTCTTCTGAGATAACAGCTTGGTATGTAAGCAAAAGTGTTTTGTATCATCTATCAAAAGACACAGTCAAAATATATCGTGTTTAAAACGTTATCTTTGTGCTGTCCTACCTTTAACCCACCCTGAACCACACCCTGTCTGAGAAACTGGCAAAACACTGTCATGTACTTTACTGAAACATTCTGATCATCCACGTTATTTACAGTGAAGCAACAGGCGCATACAGGGCACTCTGATTTCAAGAGGGCACATTCAGTTAGTGCCCTCCATTTATAAATCCTTTTATCTTTATCTGGTGGCACACACACACACATAGAGGGGAGGTAGAGAGACATGGGCCCTATTGTACTCGACTGCAGTAAATGCATGTGAATAGCCTGCACTTGATCCAAGTTATCTGTCTGATAAGTGGCAGCTGTGGTATTTACTGTAATCCCGTCTGATGGACCGGCTGAATGGTTTTTCCTTACTGCTGCTTGATCCAAATGGGTTACTCGCCCTCTTACTGTTTCCCAAAGTGGGGTCCAGTTTTGCGGTCAGCCTGAGGGGCTTCAAGGGCGTCCCCAGAGAAAATGAAGGTCAGATCAGTTTCACTCCAGCACAAGATTATGTAGAGGGAAAACAGATGAGGTCATTTATCTTGCAGCCACAGCAGACATTTAATTCTAGCATGCTTGTGATTAGATTTTCTTCCTTTTGCTTCCTCCGAGGCCAAGCAGTCATTCACATGAGTGTCCATTTGCTTTCTAGATAGTGTGGATGAATAAGTGTGGTGAATCCTGGACTGGGGGGTAAATTATAGTACCAGAGAAACAGCCAGCATCAAGGAAAAATCTGTCCTTAAAAGTCCCATCAAAGACCACATTCCAGCAAAAGGTGACGATGGTTTTATTACCTGGCTCAGCAGCTAAAGGAGGAGGAGTAATTTGGACCTGGAAGAGAAAACACTCAACCGGACTGGGAGGAGAAGTGATCTCTCGTTAAACCGCGCAAACAATACTGTACTGAATGAGGAGCAGCATGAGGCAGGTGTTTGCTGAGGAAAAGTTTGGATGACCCGTGCAGTGCCAAAAAACTCTGCAGAAGAGGCGACTAACATCCTGGGACCGGGATCTGTGAGATGGGAACCTGTGACGGAAGTCCTGGTGTTGGTTATTTCACCTGCCTGTGCTGTTTCTGATCAATTTATTATATATATATATACATTTTTTAAATTGCTGTTCAGAAAGGATGAAAGGCTTTTTACTTTGCTGTGTTCTTCTCTCGGCGGTGTTGCAGCGGAGCAACATGCACACTGGTGTACCTGCCACACGTGAGTTGACAACACAAGCTACAATACAGATATGAGATAGAACAGGTAAAGATATGCAGCCGAATTAAACATAAACAACACACAGACGTGATTAACACATGGAAAGTTGACAGGTTGTAATCCTCTTCTTCTTCGGGGTGATATTAAAAAATATATATATTTTTTGTAAAGGGAGTCTGGGCTGAAAGTTAAACCTTCCTCTTTCATGGTACAAGTCAGCATTTATGCAAATGAACTCGAACTTTTTTCCTTGTATTGACTAAAATATTTAAGAGATGCTGTTAGTAAATGTTTGGTGAGGCAGGCTGGCATAAAACAATGTGGGTTAACGATCACTGACATTTTTAATATGTAGCAACAGGCCAGGATCATTCCCACAGGCTGGTTTAAACAAGTCATCACATGGGCAGTGGTATTGTGTGGTGGTGCTACATTGCATAACACCGTTTCATTACTTTTAATTCGAGACATGTATTGGGTGTGTCTTTTTTATAGGGTCACAGTTTATGATTCAATCAATATAATTGTCTGTAATAATCACTGTAATTCAATATGAAAAGTTACCGTGTAGAAACAGATGGTTTTATTTCTCTTTATTGGATGTTTAGAGTACCATACTTCAGTTACATTTCAATTTAATGCTACTTTATGCTTTTACTCCACTACATTTATCTGCCAGCTATAGTTACTAATTATTCATCAGATTATGATTTTACATACAGAACACATGACCACTGTATGTAGCATTATATATTAAACAACCCAACAGTATATAAAGTAGTTACATTTTTAGTAGGGGCATTTTTCTGCGTTGTGGCTACTTTTACTTTTAATACTTTAGGTACATTATGTAGATAATAGTTTAGTACTTTTACTTATGTAAGATGTTAAATGGATTATTTAAAAAAATGTACTTAACTCTGGACACTTCTTCCACTGCAGGTGTCAGATATCTTTCATAGGTTTAAACTGGAAAATAAGCCAAGGACTGAAGTTGTTTTTCTGACTTCCTATGGAACAAATTATCTGGGTGTATTAACTGTTACAAGTAATGGAAAACATTATATTTTCCAAATTATGACACCACTGGAGATATTACAGCCAAATTGGACTTCAGACAGTTTATAGGAACATATGCAAACAGTGTGTTCACCAGTACTGGTCAGCTGCATGTGACTCTTAAAGGCCTACTCCAGCATTTTTTAACTATAGAGTTTGACCCTTAAGCATGGGTCAAACTCCAAAAGCTGGGGAGTACTACATGCATACATAAAATCACTGTAATCACTTCTGTGGCTCTGCAGGAGTTTTTTTCAGGTCTGAGAAAGTAACCCTGATAATGTTGTGCTCCCCATGATTATTAAGAAATTAAAGATAACCCCACAAGGATAAAGTAGAAATATTAAATCAGTCATGTCATGTCATCATCATCATTATCGCTTTCAGAAAGCTAAAGAAAGTCTCAAAGGAATAATTAAACTTTTTTTAAGCATCATCTTCTCATCTAACTCTCAGCAAGAAAGCAAATGAGTGTATTTCTAAAACTGTCAAATTATTCCTTTAAGATTTGTTTTAAAGTTACCAGTGGAGGGGGAGATATTATAACAGTAAGGAGCAAATTATTATACAGTCTGTCTTTCTCAGTGTGTAAAGAACCACAGTAAATGGTCAGCAGATCTGAGACGTCTGAAGATATAATAGCGATCAGAAATAAAAACTGGTGTCAAAAGTTTAGTTCAAACTGTTTAATGTTCACATTTGATTTTTCTCAAGGAGCAGTCCATTACTGTATTTGTAAGGACAATAGGAGCTTTGTTCTTAATGCTGACTTTTACATAGAGAAAGCTGTGGAACTTACAGGTGGCCACAGCTAATTAAAAGTAAATATTTTTGACTTATTAGCTAAGCGAGATATCCCTCAAAAAAGCCCACATGGAATGTGTGGAATTTTTAATTAATTTGCGGTTTCACTTTTCTGCAGGAAATCTGTAAACGTTTAAAAGGCAGCAGAGCCACAAACAGTTTGTGTATGAAATATTTTGTTTATAAGTAGCATTGATTTTGATCCAACACCGACTGGATAGTCTACCATCTGTCTGTTTGATGTTAGTGCATGTTGATAGTGCACTCAGTAAACTTCACAGGAAGCATTAACATATTTTTCCTTCATCTGTGCAGCTCTGCAGTATGGCATATGGCCTTGGCACAGCTTGAAACCAGAGAAATGACAGATGACATGCTCAAATCTCTCTCACACGCATATACATATTCACATGCACTTTTCCTCTGAGGAATGCAAAGATAAAGCAATTCCTCTACATCTCCTTCAACAAATCTAATCCAACCATCTCATCTTTATGTCTCCTTTTTTTGTTCTCTACCCCAATTACCCCATGCTTCTCCCCTATGCCACCATATATATACGCAAGTGTACATTTCTGCAGACATTTGACTTTGTTGAAGCTTGTCTTTCCCCCCATAGCATCTCCTCTCTTATAAGTGATCTGTGTTTCATTAAGATGTTGGCTGATACCTCTTTGTCTGATTGTGCTGTTCTCCCTCATTTCCTCTCTGCCTGTTTATTTTCCTGCTGCTTTATTTTCTGCCTCCCTGTAAAAGTTTAATGATTATGGATCATTGCTGCAATAAAATAATGGGTGTGTTCTGCTTAGGACCTGCAAATGGAAAAGACGGAGAAGTGTGAATGATATGGAATAAGTGAGGCAATAAAGCAGAGGTGTACATTTTGTAGGGGACTATTAGGAGGGACTCTGTGTATCATATAGCACACAGATTTAATCTAATCCTCAATTATTATAAGGCTAATATCAGTGTATTCGTCATTTATGATGGAAAATTAAGACCAATATTTCGTGAACTACAGGCTCAAATGTAACAAAAGCCACATGCAGAGGAAACACTCAGCGAGGAACAGATGAGTGAGTCACAGACATATACAGTATCTGATCTATATCTGTCTGTGGTGCTGGTTGGTAGAATTGATTCCTTTCATTGAAAATGATTCCACTAAGATGACTTTTTGACGAAAAAGTAGAGCACAATTTCTTCGGAGAAATGATGAAAGGTGAAGATGGAGAAACCAGTATGTGTTCATTCAATGGGAGAGATCGCAGATGTGCTTTCTCTCTCTCTCTCTCTTTCTCTGCACTGCTTTTTTTTTTGGTTACCGTTTTATCATCAATATAAATCTAACTCCGGTTTCATGCGATAAATTGACTCCTGTGACCAATTCTCTTGATTCCTTGCTATCATAAATCCTCTGCTGTAGCTCCATTTAAGGTATTCTCAATGCAATATTTTTTTACATGTTTTGATACAGTGTTAGCAGCACAGCAGATTGTCCTCAGGATTTCACTGTTATGCATATAACAAGACACCTCATAGGCCTATACCTGTAATACCCTTTCAATCTTTATATTAATGCTTCCCCAAGGATAGTAATGGCATCTGTGACATTAATAAGATCAGTCTTGCCTAAGATACCTTAAATCAGTTTCCCTTTTTTCATATGACCGTGATATTAATGTTGTCACGATGGGATGATTCATCACTGCCAACAGTTTATAGTATCTTTGAGGATGTAGCATAGGCACCTAATAAGTCACCAGGTTTTATGAAAAATCCATGTTAAACATTAATTAAAAAACCTGTCCATCTGTGCCCTGATCCGGTGTCTAAAAAAGTGGAAATTGAAGCTGTACTTTAAAGCTACTATTACCAATGTATAAATATTGATACGGAACAAATTAAGTGAAAAGTAGTCGCTTGTGGTGACACAGAATTATTACCTGCCTCTGCAGTTCCTCTCTAGTTCTTAAGTGTCTTTCAGCTCATTGTTTTGGCTTCATTCACCCTCACCACTCTCATCAGTGCCGTTTTCAATCCCAGTGGGCAGCTGTACCTAAAACACACTGTACACTAACAGCACCAAACAGCAGAGAAAGTTAGCAACTAGCTGGTGAACATAGTTGCCAGGTGACCAGAAATATGTCTCCAAATGAATCTTTATGTTACTCCATATCTCCTGGATGTGTAAATAATGTGTAAATCAGCAACGGTTTACACCATCAACAACATGGTCAGTGTTGTGTTTACGGCTTGTTTTTGCTGCCCACAAAGTGCCCAAAAATATCAGTTGATGCAGGTATGACCACTGACATACATTTGAAAAATTATAGCTTGTAAACCTGTCGATCAATGATATGAGGTTCACACCCACATACTGAAACGTTTTTCTTTCTGTTGTGCACAGTGTTAAATTGCTGTGAAGGGGATATTCTCCTTCTGCTGGACTCTTCAGGAAGTGTGGCAAACTATGAGTTCTCCCGCCTGTCGCTCTTCACCGCTGAGCTGCTTCGCCCCTTCTCACTGGGCCGTGGGCACGTAAGAGTCGGGCTGCTGCAGGTGGGCACAAACCCTACCCTGGAGTTCAGCCTGGACGTCCACAACGATCAGGAAAGTCTGCAGAAAGCTATGCGGAGTGTCAGCCAGCTGAAAGGAGACACGAATACAGAGGCAGCACTCAGGGTGGCCCAGCAGCTTTTCACAGAGATGGAGGGGAACGTGCCAAAGGTGCTGCTGTGGCTGACTGATGGTGTGCAGCCTGGAGATGTGGACAAGGGGATGTATGAGCTGAAGGCGCAGGGAGTTTCTGTGTTAGCTGTATCTACAATACATGCCAACTACCAGGTGTTACGACGTGCAGTGACACCACCTCTGGAGTCTCACCTGTACTTTGTGGACATAGATAACATCGAAATCATCACAGAGGACCTGAGGGAGGCCATCATTGGTGTGTGTCTGAAATATAGACAGAAAAAGTTAATTTTAACTACAGAATTATTCACTCCAGCCTCCATATTTTATCTCACTTTGCCACTCTCTTCCTCCCTCGTCTTGTCTTATCTATAGAAATTATTCGTGCAGAACGGCTGCGTGTGGTTCATTTAACGTCCCACAGTGCTGTGCTGCAGTGGCGCCCCATTCTGAGTGCAGGCAATGGTTACTATGATCTCCGGTACAACTCTGTGTGGAATACGGACCCTGAGACCAGCCGCGTTCTCCCTGGCGACTCCAGTTGGGTGGAACTGACTAATCTGCGGCCTGATACCACCTACACAGCTTCCCTCCGCCCAGAGTCCAACCAGAGGCTGTTTAACACACTCTCTGCTAACTTCACCACACTTCCTGGTGAGAGGATTAAAACTGTGTTTTCAACTTAAATACATTAGTTTTTATGATACTGTAATGCACATTTTTGTTTCTACAGATTTACATGCCATTTAGGGACCTTTTACTGTGTGCTGTCTGCACATTTAAAGTTTATATTATGTGTTTTATTAATACTGCTCCCACCACCCCTCTGCCTGCGCTGCCCTCAGATGTTTTAAGCCCAGCAGTGGTATCTGTGTCAGAAGCTGGCCCTCATCAAATCCGTGTGAGCTGGGGTCCCCTGCAGCCAGCTCGAGTCCAGAGATACACGGTGGAGTACGGAGCTATTCCAAGCGGACACGTCCACACTGTGACGGTACACAGCCAGCAGAACTCTACCTTACTGACCGGGCTGGAGCCGGGCACTCAGTACCTGGTCACAGTCACTGCTCTGCGTGTGAATGGAGAAGAAAGAGCCATGTCTGTGAGGGCGTGCACTCAAGAAGGTATGTTTTCAGATTGCATACCTCGTTTTTATGTATGTATTATGTATCAGCATCAGTTGACAAAGCTGCTTTAATCTCTCGTCTATGTTTTTCCTACTGCAGCAGTTCTGCCTGCCCTGGCCGACCTTCAGCTGACCACGGTGGAGCGCCAGGAGGTGCAGGTAGCATGGCAGGCCTCTCAGGAAGGTGTGAAAGGCTACTGGCTGAGCTGGGAGAGAGAAAGCTCCTCCTCGAAGCCCTCCATCTCCTCCGTCTACCTGTCTCCTACCTCCCGTTCAACACGACTCACACACCTTGCACCAAGCAGTCGTGTGTGTGTGTCACCGGTCTACAGCTCTGGTCGAGGAGAGGGGATATGCTGCACAGCAGAGATGCACACAGGTTGCCTGAGCTTAATATTATTATCTCCTTTTTTTATCAATTCCTGCAATTATGTTCATACAGCAGGTTTGGTTCATTAGAGCAAGTGTAATTTACTGTCCCTCTGTCTCTTCTCTCTGACAGATTCCAGCCAGTAGGGTTAACAACCAGAGTCTGCATCAATCAGGCAGTTGGAGCAAAAAAAGGGTGAAATTGAGCATTTTAAGTGCTGGATGCACTAGATAACTTGTTTAGGACTGAATATTATTTTTAAGCTAAAATGTTCATCTTGAAATGAATCAGTGACAGACAAGGATTTATCACATAACACCAGCCCTCTGTCTTCACAATGGCTGAGAAAATCTGGTATAATTATTATGTTTTTCTCCTGAAAATGAAAATATCACCAACTTTGCAGGAAGGCTGTCACACATTTGTTTAAACATATCAGTTAGCCAGGAACATACACAGCTGCAGGTGGTGTGCAGCATTCACAGTTTGAGGAACTATTGTTATTGGCAATTATTATTTATTATGATTTACAGTCTGTTTCATCATTACATGTATTTACTTGAAATTATAGTCTTCTCGTTGCAAGTATACTCAAATTTTTTAAAATGTAAAGTGTCCCTCCCTCGATTTCCCTTCCTGACTGCCCTGATGTCAGATCTAATTACTGATATCATCTGTCAATAGTTCACTAGCTTCGCTCAGCTGAGCTAAATGGAGTTTTGGTTACAATGCCTGAAATAAGATAAGCTAAGCTAAGCATGAGAAAATGGCAGTTTAAGTCTTTGAGGTACCATAACTACACAACACCTTTATTATGAAACATAGATTTAGAGTTAAATTCATGCAAGTAAAGTACAAGTGCCCTGATTAACTGCAACCTTAGACGCTAGTGTACAGTAACCCGATAATCAGGCTGAATTGTTTTTCCTTTTCATTTCAAAAGAGATGATGTTGTGTGAGCATCAATTCAGTGGCCTGCAACTACAATACTATCTTTTCCACTCCAAAATTAGCCTGAAGCTGAAGAAGCATTGTAAAATGATGCTGCACTTAAGTGATGCTTTCAAATGCTTAGTTATTATTTTAATGAGCGATAATGCTGCTGCTTGTACACCATTTGTGGCCTCCCTGGATTGTTTATTATATCAGATGTTTCAAATGTATTGATTTTGAAGCTGATCATGAATTAGTCTAAATGTTTGTTGTTTTGTTTTGTCTTTTTCAGCAATTTTTCTCTGAGTTCTCACTCAATTATTGGTATTCAGTCATTACATCAGACACCGCTCTGACGGCACACAGTGAATTCACAGACAGGTGTGTTTCTGCTTGGCTGTCAGTGATGAAACACAGAAGACTAACGCATTTAATGTTATCAACTCTTCAGACCAGTAAACTCCATACTGGATCAGTTTGTACAATGCTTAAAAGTATGCAGTTTTATAGTGAATATGTACTGTGAATATATAGATTTTTAAATGTACTTTTTTATTTATTTATATGCTATGGAATTTATGGCCAGGTTTGTCTGATAAAGTGTTTCCCTGGGCGAATTAGAAGACAAGAGAAATTAGATTTATATAAAATATATTTGCACAGTATCCATAAGCATTTAATTGGGTAAAATAATAAATGCAGTTTTTAAAATACCATAAAAAATGTGTTGTTCTTGCTCTTATTCTGGTATTTTGTTGTTTATAGTGCCATCTAGTGGCTCTGATCAGATACTGCAAAGTGAATAAATGGTAAACTTCATGTCATCTTTTCACGTGACATAAATGGTTAATTTAGGATGATTATAAATAATGTACCATTGTATTTTATTAATTGAGCAAAATCAAATCCAATAATAGTTATTCCTCCTGGATAAGGACGTTACCTGGAACATTAGGATTAATAAAGTCTATCTATTTAATCAGCAGAGATAGAACATAATAGAAAGGACTGAAAAGTGCTTTGTCATTTGAAGATGCATTAGGTTTTATATTATCTTAAAACTACTTACAGTTACTTTGAATGAATGTACCCACTGATCTGTTTTGTTTTATTTTGATTGAGTATAAATATAATAAATATTAATAAATAAATGCAAACATGGGTCAGTGGCTGTTCAAAGCACTCTTAACTGCTAAATGTTTTGCACACCTACCTTAAATATATTGCTGTAAGATTGTAGAAGGATATACTGCTGGTTGGATATATTGTATATTCATCTGTATCATCTTATTTTTAATGGATGGTGACAGCTGTAGAGTAATAGGAAAGGGGGGAGAGAGAAAGGGGTGCTGCAGCCAGCACTCACAGCACATGGGGCACCAGCTCCACCAGGTGAGCTATCAGGGCTCCAAGTCTTCATTTTAGCCTTAGTGGAAATTTTACCAAATTTGATTGGTGCACTTGTTACCTCCTCTGAAAAGTAGAAGAGTATATATGTTTTCCTTGTTATGTTAGCGACCAATTTGATTTGTGACCATTGTGGTTGTGAATGCCAAGTGAGAAGGGAAGGGACACCACAGAGTGATTTAAAGGTAAAATGATTTATTTTAGGTTTTCAGTGTTTATAGGTGCCCACCTCTGGCCTGGTGATGAAGTGCAATCAAATGTTTTGTTCGTTTGCTTAATCAAGAAAAAAACATGCACACACAAACAAAAAGATTTCCACCTCCCTGAGGATGATGGCTTAACAAATGAAGTTGCAAAGGAAGCACATTCCATTCAGGGAAGCCGATTAATCTCCTGTGTTTCATTAACCTACACCTTGAGCTCCCTAAGGCATAAAACGTAGTGTTGCTTTTTGGCTTTGTGAGGGTCTAGTAGGAATTATCTTACCAGATCTTAGCACAAAGACACCTCTGCTGTCAGTTTTCTGTCATGATGACACAGGTAGGATCACCTTCTTCCATTGGCCCCATGAAGGAGTGTCTTAAGTTTGCTGACTGCACCTGCAAAGACCAGTTGGGTGATTACACTGGTGCCTAACATGTTGGCAGCATGCTGGAGAATGAAAACTGAATTATATTCACCTGGCACACATTAAATTGAAGATGGAGTGTGCTGTAAGACTTTATATCAGCTGATAAAACTGCTTTTTAGACAGGTTGTTGAGACAATGGCGGCAATCAACAGCCTCATGGAGAATTCTGGAGACACAGAGCTTGTGGGGATGGGACTTCGTGTCTCTGTGTCCCCCGTACAAACTGCCTTCTACATCCTCCTGGTGATTATAGGCGTCCTGGGTAACGCCACTGTGGTCGGGGTGATTGGTCAGAGTGTAATAATGGACCGTGGTGGAGGACGTAACTCGGACATCATTATCATTAACATGGCACTGTCTAACCTGCTGGTGTCTCTGATGAGGAACACACTGCTTGTCATCTCAGACATGGGACTACAGGTATGTGGTCTTTAAGATCAATAGTTTTTTGGATGAATGAGTCATCCTTTAGTTAGTTCGGAGGGTATGGTGATTTGACTTTCTTGCGCCACATACATTATTGTTTGTCTATGCCAAAGTGTAGATTTTTGACAAGGTTTTGTCTTTCACAACAAACCCACAGTAGCTGAAAAGTTAAGAGGTGAATTAGATGTCAAGCAGAATATCAGTAAAGAAAACTCTTGTGAATATTCACCTGTCTTTATTTTACAGCTGTACTCATCCAAAGAGTGGTGTCAGTTTCTCATGGGTGTCTGGGTGTGGCTGCGATCTGTCAACGTGTGGTCAACACTGTTCCTCAGTGTGTTCCACCTCCAGACATTGAGGCGTGTGGCTCCAGTTGTTGGGAAGCTTTACGGGGCCCGGGGCGCTCCTAAGACCCTACTGCTGAGTCTGGGCCTCATCTGGCTTCTCAATTTTATTTACTCCATTCCTGCTCATATCTTTTCTACCAGTGGGAACGAGAACAGCACAGAGGTGAGAGGCTGCATTAGCTTAAATTAAATGAATGAAATTACAGTAGGAGGTAATTTAGTGCCAAGTTTAAAAATAAACTATCATACGCTAATACAAAATTGAGGAAAAAGGCTTGATTTTAAAATTGACAACTCAAGAAAAAATAAATGGAAACCAACAGATGTCTAGAACAGTTGGAAAAATACACCCAAAAATATAAAACTGTATAGGATGCTTTCAGAAAAAGGTCAGAAAAAATGTTATATATACGTTATATTTAAAGAGTTAAAACAAATAACACCACATTATGTAAGAACTTGACAAAATGGAATTAATTTTCACTTTATTATATAATTACACCTGCATTTTGTAACTATTGTCCCCATATTGTGGGGAAATTACAATCTTCCCACTTTATGTAATAAATGATTACATATGGTGGAGGCCATTACAAAATGTAGGGGTTGCATATTTGTTTGTCTGAGTTGGACTTAATAAGCTGAAGATTTTTGTTGGGTTTTTTAGGGTTCCCTGCCAAAAGACCATTGCAGTAGTCAACCCTGCTAGAAATAAAAGCGTGAATGAGAGTTTCGGTTCGGCATCTGACATAATATCCTTGAGTTTGGTTTTATTTGTAAGATGATAACAAGCTGATCTTGTTACTGCTTTTATGTGGCTGTTTAGATTAAGGTCAGACTATAATGCCACAGGTCATATAAGAGTCTAATTTAATATTTGGGCAGTTTAATTAAGGTTAATTGTTAAAAATATGACTTGTACAGATATGATTATACATTTTCATCATAAAAAAAGTGTTACAGTCCTTTAAAGTTTAGAGAAATGTTTTCCGTAAACCAACAAAGATTTAATGTTAGGTTGGACATAATTATATATACTGTAGGTGTATGTGACATCCTACTAAACCTGCAAGAGTGCTGAATTTAAAAAAGTTTAATAATTGGATAGTTTCCTATTAATATAAGAAAATTCAAGATTTTGCAGCATCAATACTTCCATTGAAATGTGGCGCAAAAAGTACTGAAATCATGTAAATTACCAACAGCTCAACATAATGATTCAAGGTAATTTACAATGCAGGGTTGTAAAATAAGTTCCCTTTAGGCTACTAAAATAATAAATATTACATATATGCTGTTCTATATAACAGCAACCTCTCATTGAACAGCCACATCAAATCTGTCACACAGTCATGCTTCTTTCAACTCAGGAAAATCTACCAGATGAAGCCATTTCTCTCAACCAAAAATCTGGAAGCAGTCGTTCATGCTTTTATTTCATCTCGCCTAGATTACCTTTTTTGTCTGCAGCAAAAAGTCTCTCTCCTCCTTACAGCTGATTCAAAATGCAGCCGCCAGGATTTTAACAGGTACCAGAAAACAAGAACCCATTATACCAATCCTTTCATGTCTGAACTGACTGCCTTTAGCCCTTTATAGGACACTCATTGAAATACTTACATTTTAACCCTGGAGTGTTATTGGTGGATTTAAGAAGAAATTTTTTCTTTCATGACTTTTTAAAAAAAGTTTCAGTTGTAGGCTGAAAATCAAAGTCAATGATGTATAGGTGGGCTGGCACAACAATAGCCTGTGGCACTGCAGGCCTCCTCTTCCCATAGAAGGACTGAGCAGACAGCTGCTGCAAAATAAATATGCCACATCAATATACTATGAAAATATGTAATAAATAAGGCATAAGCAAATAAAGATCAAGCCCACTTTGAGTTATTTGTGAAAGAAAGCCATAACAGAGAAGTGTATATTAGTATATCACCTATAAAAAAAACCCCACCAAAATGTGCCAGTGTTATTAAAACTGTCATAAAGGAAGTTACCATATAACTAACCTTATATATGGTTCCTTGCCCGATAAAAAAAATTATTTATCACTTTAAAGGCACCAAATGTGCTGGCCCCAAGCTATATCTCCGACCTTTTAATCCGCCAACAAATGCAGATCTCCAGGTGGTTCCCAAATCAAGGTTAAAAAAACAAAGGTGACAGAGCGTTTGCCACCAGAGTCTTCCAGAGGAGAACAGGATGGCAAATTCTATCACTTCTTTTAAGTCTCTTCTTAAAACTCACTTTTATAGTCCTGCCTTCCAGTGACCCGTTTTACTAACCTTTTACTCAACAGGAGTTAATTGGTTTTTAAAAAATTGTTTTATCTTTTATTTATTGCTATATTTTACAGCACCTATAATAATAATGTTTATTGTTTTATTCTATATATTGATGCTGGTTGATTGTATTGTCTTTACCCTGTGGAAGCACTTTGTAAGGTGCTATATAATAAAAAGTGTATTATTACTATTATCATTATATACACACAAAATGATTTACAGTAAAATTGATTAATAAGTCATAAAACTTAAATCAAAATACTATTTTGAATGATGAAATGCTGAGGATGAATTAAGCAGTATCACAGCCTGAGAGAAGAAGCTGTCTTTAGTCTGGTGGTACAGCAGTGAAACCTTCTGTACGTCTTTCATTAATGTATAATCAGCTTAAAATAAGAATTGTTGTGTTTTCATTATCTTAGAATGAGTCTTTTTATATCTACACTGTGGGTTGCCTTCCATGGAGTCCACCATGTTAAGATCAAAGTCAAATATAGATGTCTTCTATCTAAGTAAAAAATACTTCTCCCTAAATTGCTGATTACATTGTGTGTTCCACCCTCTTTCCTCCATGTTTTGACTCCACTCCTCTATCTTCCTCCTCTTTTCTCAGACCCTAATGCTGGTGAGCAGCACAACACGCCCCCTGCTGGGCTGTGTGTGGAACTTTCCCTCTAGCTACAGTGGCCTGGCCTATGCCACCACATCTATGGTGATCCATGAAACAATTCCCATAATCCTAATGGCCTTTACCAATCTTGGCTCCCTTTACACACTCTACACCCACTGCAGGAAGCGGGGTTCGGTGCAAGATGCACCTGTCATAAAACGGGTGCCTGCTGAGAGACGAGCAGCCAAGGTAAGGAGGAACAGATAAACATGGATATCAATTGTTTTCAGCAACATTTTTATTGGAGTCAGTGTAAACATATTAGTCTTGTCATGTCACTCACCTAATACTTTGCATTGTGTGTTTCTCCAGGTGATTCTCGCTCTCATAATGCTCTTCATTGCATCCTGGGGAACCAGCATTATCTCTGTCAACTATTTCAACTACAATCAAGGCTCCTCAGCGGAGTTTCTTCTGGTCATTGCTCGTTTTGCCAACATTATTTTTATTGCCATGTCTCCTGCTGTTCTGGCAGTTGGCCACCGGCGGCTGCGGTCTTTCGTCAAGTCTGCGCTCTCTCACTGACAGATAGTACACTCTGCTGAAGCTCTGGAGGTACAGCTCACACAGTACTGCTAATCATAAACTACTACTTGTCATCAATTTCTCTCAAAAACATTTAAAGGAGGTTCATTGTTATAGGTATGCATATATACATATATATATATATCATATATATATATATATATAATATATATATATGATGTTTCTGTGTCTCTGGAGTTGGACTCATGGACTCAATGAAAGGATAAAAAGTAATTCAGTACCTCCAACTGAGATCACCCATAAAGCCCACTCCATGTTAGTCAACAAAGGATGGAAAAGAGGTTTGGTTTCTAAACTTAATTCCCTATTCCAGTTTATTTCTTATGAAGCTCTTTCCATCATAAATCTATGGACCTGAAGCACTACATAAGAAATGATCCACTCGACTGGGAGAAGATATTGTCTTCGATTCTCATTGCTTCTAAAAACCCAGACCACATTCACAAGACCTACCTTAGTCAGAGGACGAGTGAAACAGTTCATGAAACAGTTATCATCTCCAATAATTGCACCTTGTGCCCAGATGGGCTGGTCCTACGTGTATATGTATTTGGAATGGATGGATATGAGGTTTTATTGGGACGAGGTTTGCGTCACTATTGGATGTAGCTGTGCCATGCTCTCCCACTATGCTACTCTTGTATGATACTACCTGACTAAGATGATCGTTAGTTTGAAAACCTCCACATGAAGTTATGAGAGCCCAATGGATCAATACGTCAATTGATATAATTAATAAGGAACTATCAGTGGTGCTGGAGCTGGTACTGTTACAGCCTGTTAAGTGATGGCAGATAAAATCAAATAATTGTTTACCATGTTTATTTATTGTTACATGTTTATTTATTGTGTCCTGTAAATACGTCCATGGATGGGGTTGGGGTGAAGGGGGTTGCCACGAGGTTCTTGTTTTTTGTTTTATGTTGTATTGTTATTGCTGTCTTTACTTTGTCTTCTCTGTATATTCCTGAAGTAAGAGGACAATAAAAAGTTGATCATAAAAAAAGAAGTGACATTGTAAGACAGCAGTCTCTGGCCCACAATTTGAAATAATTGGCTTTATTGAACTTCACATCCTTATAAGACATTTTAGCATTAAAACACACTTATGATAACTTCATACCATTTGACCTAACAGCAAACTTTTGAGGATGACTTGCTGAGCTGCCTCTCCCAAGTATTTGTTTTTTTCCTTATGTGCTACATTTTTTGGGAAGAGTTTCTCTTTGGCGTATATTTTTTATTTTTTGTACATTTTATTTATGCAGATTTTTATACATACAGGCACACATAGTACAAACAAAAAAGACAGTAAACCAGACAATTAAAACAAAACAAAACAAAAAAATTAAAAACATACAGCCAGCACTTACTCATTATATAAAAAGAAAATGTATAATTATACATGTCGAAAAAGATTGCTTGACAAAATTCCTAATTTGTAGATAATGAAAAAATTGATTAGTAGGGAGTTTAAACTTAGCCTGGAGCTGGGCAAAAGATGCAAAATTATTATCAATGTAGAGATCCCTGATATTAGTTAAACCTTTATCTGACCAGTGCTTAAAGACAGCATCCATCAAACCAGGCTTAAAACAGGGGTTCTGACATATGGGAGCATGAATTGACATTTCTGGGACGTTCAGAATTCCCTTGATTTACTTTAAAATTTTATTCGAGTTGCAGAGAAAGAAATGATTGCGTAGGGATTTAATTTTATTATCAGGTTTTGAGAATAGAATGGCTGACAAGGAGGCACCAGTAAGTCATACAGCATTACTAAGCTCAATCTCAGGCCATCTAGGGCCGGGCCCGCCCTCCTCTGCACCCCCAGCCGTGGACTGATTCCAGAAAACCCATAGTCTGGCATTACAGGCCCAGTAGTAATGCCGAAAGACAGGCAGGCCTAAACCACCCTCCTCAGTGGGCTTCTGTAAGTGGGCCTTTGAAATACGGGGGGGCTTGGAGGCCCAGACGAAGGGCATGATAATAGAGTCTAACGTCTTAAAAAAGGAAGAAGTGAGGAAGATGGGCACATTCTGAAATAGCTAAGTAAATTTAGGGAGCACGACCATTTTAACAATGTTGACACAGCCAATCAATGAAAGGGGGAGAAGTTTCCATTTATCTATCATACACTTGAGCCTGTCAATCAGATCCATATAATTAAGTTAAAGAGAAGTTTTGGATTTCTCGGGATGTTAATCCCCAGATAAGAAAAGTGGTCATGGCCTGGTAAACCAGGAACAACAGACCAACTCTTTACTCTTTCAGGTGTCTTGGAAGGGGCCTGGGAGTATGTCCATCCGGTCTACATGTGCTTTGCAGATTTGGAGAAGGCATATGACCGGGTTCCCCAGGATATCCTGTGGGAAGTGCTGTGGGAGTATGGGGTGAGGGGGCCACTTCTCAGGGCCATCCAAGCCCTGTATTTCCAAAGCGGGAGATGTGTCCGGATTCTTGGTCGTAAGTCGGACTCGTTTCCAGTGGGTGTTGGCCTCTGCCAGGGCTGCGCTTTGTCACCAATCCTGTTTGTGACTTTCATGGACAGGATATCGAGGCATAGTCGTGGGAGGGAGGGGTTGCAGTTTGGTGGGCTGAGGATTGCATTGCTGCTTTTTGCCGATGATGTGGTCCTGATGGCATCATCGGCCTGTGACCTTCAGCACTCACTGGATCGGTTCGCAGCTGAGTGTCAAGCGGCTGGGATGAGGATCAGCACCTCTAAATCGGAGGCCATGGTTCTCAGCAGGAAACCGGTGGATTGTCTACTCCGGGTAGGGAGTGAGTCTTTACCCCAAGTGAAGGATTTCAAGTACCTCAGGGTTTTGTTCACGAGTGAGGGAGCAGGAGATTGGCCGGAGAATCGGGGCAGCAGGGGTGGTATTGCGGTCCCTTTATCGCACTGTACAAAGAGAGTTGAGCCGAAAGGTGAAGCTCTCGATCTACCCGTCGATCTTTGTTCCTACCCTCACCTATGGTCATGAGAGATGGGTCGTGACCGAAAGAATGAGATCCCGGGTACAAGCGGCCAAAATGGTTTCCCTCAAGAGGGTGGCCGACGTCTCCCTTAGGGATAGGGTGAGAAGTTCGGACACCCGCGAGGGACTCGGAGTAGAGCCGCTTCTCCTTTGCGTCGAAAGGAGCCAGCTTAGATGGTTCGGGCATCTGATGAGGATGCCTCCAGGGCGCCTCCCGAGGGAGGTGTTCCTGGCAGGTCCAGCTGGGAGCAGGCCACGGAGCAGACCGAGGACCAGGTGGAGGGATTATATCTCAACACTGGCCTGGCAACGCCTCGGGATCCCCCAGTCAGAGTTGGCCGATGTGGCCAGGGAAAGGGAAGGTTGCGACCCAACCCCGGATAAGCGGATGAAGATGTACGTATGTATGTACATTAAATTAAGCAAAGGAAAGTCTATCGGGAATGAAGCCTGATTGTTCTTTGGCGTATTTAAGATCAGATTGGGTTTGAACCATTGGAAAGTTTATATTTTGGGTTTGTGCACATAAACTTGATTTGACAGTGCAATAATGTGTCTCAGTTTGACTTGCATTACATGGCTTGAAATACCTCAAAATAAGATAAAGTCAAACACTAGCGGCATGATTACATGAGTTGCTTGGCGTTCAGTGGACATGTTTGGCCCATACACCCATGCATTGCTGTTGTGGTTTGTTTTATTTCCTTTAATTGATAGTGACAGCTGTAGAGTGACAGCAAAGGGAGGAGAGAAGAAGGGGATGACACACAGCAAAGGGCCACAGGTCAGAGTCGAGCCCATGGCCCCTGCAGCAAGGACTCAGCCCCGGCACACAGGATGAGAGCTCCAGGTGAGCTATCAGGGCGCCCCACGAAATTTTGCCAAATTTGATTGGTGTACTTGCTCCTTTGATAAATAGGGTCTTTTTCCTTGTTATGTTAGTGAACAATCTGATTGTGGTTTGTGCATGCCAAGTGAGAAGAGGAGAGACACCACAGAGTGACTTAAAGGTCAAATGATTTCTTTTAGTTTCAGTGTTTATAGGTGCCCACCTCTGGCCTGGTGATGAAGTGCAATCAAATGTTTTGTTCATTTGCTCAATCAAGAACCTACATGCACACACAAACAAAAAGATTCTCCCCGAGGATGATGGCTTAACAAATGAAGTTGCAAAGGAAGCACATTCCATTCAGGGAAGCTGATTAATCTCCTGTGTTTCATTAACCTGTACCTTGAGCTCCCCAAGGCATAAGCATAGTGTTGCTTTTTGGCTTTGTGAGGGCCTAGTAGGAATTATCTTACCAGATCTTAGCACAAAGATGTCGTGATGACAGAGGTGAAGACCCCATGAAGGAGTGTCTTAAGTTCACTGGCTGCACCTGGGCCGTGAGTCAATCTCAGCTGTCCTATTAAGACAAAAATGTAAAAAAAAAAAATAATAATAATAAGTTACATTGCATTTAAGTTAATGCAAAAACACAGCTATGATTCTATGATGTTTTGTGATGAGTAAATTACAAGTAAAATTCTTAAAACAAAATTTAAAGTAAGGATAAACTGGATTGTATATATGTGATGTTCTATTAACCCTGCAAAAAGTGCAGAATTCAAACTAAGGGTTTAAGTTTAATTAAAGGTTTAGCAACAACAATCCTGAAAAGTAATACAGAAAGTTCTGAAATCACGTAAGCAATACCACAATGTAACACACTTCATCTGAGGTAAGAGCCCTGCCTTTAAGTTTTGATTAGCAACAAAATGTTTGTGTCAAATATAGATGTCTTCTTTCCAAGTAAAAAATACTTCTCCCTAAACTGCTGATTACATTGTGTGTTCCACCCTCTTTCCTCCATGTTTTGACTCCACTCCTCTATCTTCCTCCTCTTTTCTCAGACCCTAATGCAGGTGAGCAGCACAACACGCCCCCTGCTGGGCTGTGTGTGGAACTTTCCCTCTAGCTACAGTGGCCTGGCCTATGCCACCACATCTATGGTGAGTAATGGATGGGTACAATAATTTACAGCAGACCTGAGATTTCATATATGGAACATATAAACATGGATATAAATTATTTTCAGCAACATTTTTTATTGAAGTCAGAGTCAATACTAATCTTCATTTTACTTCCCTAATTCTTTGCATTGTGTGTTTGTCCAGGTGATTCTCGCTCTCATAATGCTCTACAGAGGAGTTTCTTTTGGTCATTGCTCATTTTGCCAACATTATTTTTATTGCCATGTCTCCTGCCGTTCTGGCAGTTGGCCACCGGCGGCTGCGGTCTTTCATCAAGTCTGCGCTCTCTCACTGACAGACAGTACACTCTGCTGAAGCTCTGGAGGTGCAGCTCACACAGTACTGCTAATCATAAACTATAAACTATTTTCATCAATTTCTCCCAAAAAAGATTTAAAGGAGGTTCATTGTTATAGGTATGCATATATGATGTTTCTCTCTCTCTCTGGAGTTGGACTGATGGACTGAAAGGCTAAGTGTCAAAACATAATTCAGGTTACAAGGATTTGTGCTACATGAGCCAATGAATTTAATTCTTTATGTAGACAGGGCTGATAGATGGTGTGATGTATTCTACATAACACAATAAATAATATTTAAACCAAATCTCACATTTCTGGACTTAAGGATATGTAAATCCTTATAATACAATTTTGTGTTAAAACACAGGCAATGTTGGTAATATATTTATTAAACATGAAAGGACAACTTATGATAACTTTATCCTACCGGACCTAATAGCAAGCTTCTCAGACTGAGTTGCTAAATTGCCTCTCAGAGGATTTCCTTAAAGTTTTTCTTTAGCTATTAGAAATCAGATGGTGATTAAGCCATTGGAAAGTTTATAATAAGGTTTGTAAAGCCTATTGAGACTCAAGACTAACTTATACACATAAAGGTAACTTGACGGCGCAAACAAAAGAAAACTACAGTTTTTATTAAAATACATCTCAGCTGAAAAGAAACAACAAAGACACAATGACACATTGGATTGATTAAAACTATTTTAACAATCAAAGAAACAAAATCACTTACTTGACTGCACTGTAATAATTTCTGACTTAGCCAATATACTGTGTCTCAGTTTGACTTGAATTAAATGACTTGAAATATCTCAAAATAGGCTAAAATAATACTTGATGATAGTTCTGTCCAGATGAAACGTAGTGCTGTGCCTCTGGATTCAGATGGATGAGGCAGCTGTCCTTACGTATATGAGTATACATTTTAGTATTTTTTTAGTACTTTAGAATCAACACTTGGAATCATTTGTGTGCTTTTACTTTCTCCTCCACTTTAATGACCCTGCTCTCTTTTTGAACAATAAAAACAGTTTCTTTTCCCTTCTTTCCTGTAGTTTTTGGGGATTCACCCGCCTCTTCAGTGTCCTCGCTGTGACATTTAAGAAATTTAGACCACCCCAGTATCATACTCATGATTCTCCTTCTCAGCTTGCCATGTCCCAGGGCCACCACCATAGGACTGAAGCCTACAAACAGCGAGGCAGAGAAGTGGGACACAGTCAGCAGCCCTTCAGCGTGGTGTCCCCCGTCATGGTTATAGTATGTCACCGCAGCAACCTGTAGCGCCCAGCAGACCACGAAGAGAGACACTAGCGACATGATTACATGAGCTGCTTTGCGTTCAGTGGACACATGTTTGTCCAGCTCCCCGTGAGCTCCTCCTGACTCTCCCCCTGAGGTAACAGCTCGAATATGTTTTGCCAGAGCATGAAGCGTGGCCAGGTTGGTGCAAACCATCAGCACCAGTGGTAACACCTCATTAAGTGCCAGCGACGTGGAGGCAAAGGCTGAGCCCTGCTCGGTGGAGGGGAACTCCCAGATACAGCCCAGCAAAGGCCTGGTGGTACAACTGATCACCATCAGCTCCACAGTGGCGTTTCCGTGAACATGAGTGGTATATATCAGAGCTGGAATTGAGAAGACCAGGTTTGCCCCCCACACCAGCCACAGGACGATCCAAACCCGCCGCCTCTCCCTCTGCTGTGCGAGGGGTCCAAAGGCCACATGCTGCCGCCTCAAGGTCGTGCAGTGGAAGAGGCTCAGAGCTAGAGTCACCCAACAGCCTACAGCTCGCCACCACACCCACAGCAGCATGAAGACTCGGCACCAGCCCGGCGACAGGGACACATCCAAGCCCAGGTCCGACACAAAGATGGGCACCGTGCGGAAAAGTGAGGTCAGCAGGTTGGCCAGAGACAGGTGCACCAGAATGGTGTCAGAGGGGGGGAGTCTCCGAGCCGGACTCTCAACAGCTGACTGAAACACCTGAGAACATAAACAAGACAGACTGAGAACAATCCTACCCAAAAAGTCCAGCTCAATTAACAAATAAGAAATTCTATATTGTCTCACCACATGGATGACCAAGATGTTTCCCAGAATGCCAGAAAAGACCAAGAGCCCAAACAAAATAGCATCTACAGTGAGAACCTCTGACATGGCATCATCCTTTGCGTGGCGACATAGTTTGCTTTTTCTTTGAGACGAGCATGTGTGTGAAAGTCAAACATCAAGGCTTCACGTGCACCACTACCGCTGCAGATGCTCCTCATGGTGTTTTATATATGCCCACACAGACAAACAAATAGATTAGTCACACAAAAGGGTTTCATGTCTGCTGACCAGGCTCAGGGTCAATTTCACCTAATATGTTGATGCGCCGAGTGTACATGCAACAGCAGGCATTTTCCACGTTTTCTTTCTGCATCAGCAACCAACTTCAAATGCTATGCTGTCTCTTGACCTGAGCGATCACATCAACAGGTGTGGGTCACTGTACTTTGTTGTGCACATAACAGCCTGTTCCTATTAAATTATTCACACTAATCATCACTTAACTCCGTTATGGAAATGGATGTGGTGAAGGACCAGCGATCTGCTTGAATATTTGTTAGTAGTTATCCTGACTGTAAAAAACGAACAATAGCTAAATAACAATAGCTAGTCACAGACCATCAACTGCAGATCAGACGGATTTAACCAATTATCCTATGTGACCTCTAAGGCACAGGTGGAGCTAAGTCAGTCCCACTGATGCAGCATCTTTCCTATTAGTCAGCCATTACACTCCCTTGGTACTAACTGTTTACTGGGTTGCCAAGTTTCTCTCTTGGGACGAGACAATTATTGGTTAGAATAATCTCAAATAAGCACTGCTTAATTAAATGTATTGTGGAGAACAGTGATGCCTCTTGATCATAAATGTTTTCCATTGTGCTTGAGATTTTTTTTAATAATGAGATGTTTCTCTTCATTGAAGAGACTGGCCTATGACAAAAGAATTAAACACAACAATTAAAAACTGTGAACACAATAAACCATACAATAGCTGCAGGGATTGATTGACTCCACTATTAAATTCATGTGTTGGATCCTCACTCCCTTTCATATAAGCAGCACATTTACTGAAATAACTTCAACCCAGGACAAATCAGCAGCAACAACTTTCTGTCTTACAATAGCAGTTAATGTCACGGTTGTGAGGACAAATTCGAGAATACAAGGTCTATTTCTTTGTCTTGTCCATTTCTACCATTTTCAAAAACACACACATAATAACAGCTCATATATACGTAAATTCTGACAACTGGTAAATACAGGTTTTATATAAGTGCCAATCTCTCTGTGTGGTGTGTCCCTTCCTGCGATGCATCACTGAATGCCATACATCAGAAAGAGAGAGAGGAAATGAGACACAACCCCCAATGGCAAACTATATAGAAAGGGACCAGAGCTTGATTAATTGGTTCATACGGTGTAACTTTGACAACGGCCAATTTGAATTATGTTTTCTGAATTCGAACAGCATCTGAGACAAATCTAGTTAACATAAAGCATAATAAAATCTGCAGTAGTCATTATCAGAAAACGACACGGCACCAATATTAAACATTCAGGTACCCATATTTTTGGTATGTGTTGTTTGGTACTTGAACCATATATTTTCTACAAATTTAATTTTAACAATGAGTGAAAATTATGATATATTAGATTCATTTTGAATTAAAATTTGTATTTTATTTCAAATACATTTAGCTTTCTGGGATCCAACCATAAATGTTAAACTAAAACAGTTTCTGTAGGTGTTTTTTTGCACTGGCAGACCTAACATCAGCTCTGATCTGATGTGTGCTGGATGTGGGTGATCTGCAGGTGAGCAGCACAGGTGGGATGCAGCTCGGTTTAAACGCTCCATCCGTCAGTGTTGTCAGGACTCTGGTTGTTGTCTCCGTTATTGACAGACACCCGGAGCACTGAGTGGGATGATGACTCACAAACCGACTGCTGAAGATGACTACAAATATTTTGTGCACGGCACCCACGCTCCCTAGCGGCGCGCGCTCCTCCACGTGCACTCTCGCACAGCGGGCATCAAAGCCCTTTACGTCAAGCCAGACAGGAAGGAGAAAGCAAATTTGATGGCACGATAGCCGGGTCCTCACGTCCCACCGAAACAAGTAAGTGATTTTTACAAATGCCCGAGAGGCTGAAGCTTCACCGAGGTGGCTTTTATTACTGATTAGGCTTTATTAACTTCAGCCTGCACGCTTGTCTTATGCAAGGTCAAACTCGGATCTCTTTCTGACTGGATGGCCGCATGATTAAATATTATTTTTGTCGCAGATGCACACCCGCTCCTCTCGCCCATGGACGCGCTCTCCTGTTTCACACGGATTTCGTCTGTGTGCACTGTGGCAGAGCTGATCTTATGGCAGACACCAGCCCGCCGAGCACCGTCGCCCATCTGATCCACTGTGAGATAAAATAATTCGACGAGAGGGAAGTGAGATGAAAAGCCAACAACGACCATCACTGCTCGCCTTATCGGCACTCCTGCTCTGCACATTACACCAGACAGATGGGTCCAGCAGATCTCATCGCAGCAGCTCAGCATCATCAACATCAACATCAACAACATCCCCATCAGAGGTGAGAGGCAGGAATCATTTGGGGACGCCCCAAATCGAGCTAGAACAGACTAATGTCAGTTCCAGCCATGGCAATCACAGCCAGGAAAGTAGGCCATCACCAAAGCTTAAAGAGATAACAGGCCAAGTGAATAGCCTCTCTTTCAACACCACCAGCAGAGGCAATTTTTCTACTGTGATATCTGAAAGGTCTGGCAGGGCACCAAGCTGGAGCCCAGAGGAAGGGGTGTCACCACTGTGTGCCTACCGAATGATTGAGGGAGGCATTGGGGGGCAGCTGTGTTTTCGACACACACTGCCTGGGTACAAGTGTCGCAAGGGAGACTGCAGGACAGTGGTGTCTTTGGGGAATCTGGTTGCAAATATTCTTATCAATGGCAGCGTACTGTTACAGTGGACCCACGAGGGAGAATCCGCAATGGCCGGCCGAGACATGAAGACAAAAGAGACTGCGGCTGGTCAGAAGAGCAGTGGGGACCCTGGGACAAATTCAACGAGACAGGAAACTCTGAGATCAAACACTGTTTTCGGTGGCCGACGCCACAGACGGTTAGGCTACGAGTTGAGCTGCTGGTGGAATGGAAGCTACACTCAGTTTGAGTGTGCTGGTGTCCATCTTGGATCTGGCTGCAGGGACTTTCTCCTCACTGAGCTGCATGAGAACATCCCGTACCGCATCTGCCTGCGCTCCCTGGCCCACTCCGATCCAGCTCAGAGGGCAGACCAGCGGGACTGTGTTGAGTTTACCCTGCCGCCTTCTGGGATGCAGGACATCGTGATTGCCATGACAACGGTGGGGGGAGCTATTTGCGTGATGCTGGTCATCATCTGCTTGCTGGTGGCATATATCACAGAAAACATCATGAGCCCCACGACGCAGCACACATACTCCTACCGCTCTCACTCGCGTCACTGATGCTACACTAAATCCAAGATGCACTGCTAAATGAATAAAAATGGCCTACATTTAACATTCATGATGACCACGTCTAATCTCACAATCATAGTCACTTGTTGTCAATGATAATTGTTTTTCAATCAGCCACACAATATGATAGACACATCCTTTTATGACTGAATTGAAGCACAATCTGCTGTGGCTTTGCAAATAACATGCCTTGTCAACCTCTGCGAGGATGCACTGAACCAAAAGTACTGATAACCTGATTTACTATTATACAGTAGTTTACTGTGTCATGTTTTTGTTCAAGGTTATCCGTGATTGAGTCTGTCACTCTGTATGCAGGCAGCATTTATACAGCAATACAATTAATCAGATGGCTTTGAGTACATCGGAAACAGCAGTTTTTGCTAAATGTGCAGCCTGTGAAAATGTCCAGACTTGTCCTCTTTTTGCTAGGGACACAGGAAAATGAAACTTTACTTAATTCAATTTTTTCACTTGACTAAATCATCCTACCATCTAGTTTTGCTTTAAGGTCTGCATACAGTATGTATTTGTACCATTTTGTGAAGGGCAATCCAATCTAGTGTACAATCTCTAAATACTGTGCCAAACATCTTGAGTTAGAATGCCTTTATGTCCTGCTGTGAGTGAATAAAGTACCATGAGGTCATTTGTAATACTTTACAGCTGTCCTTATTTTCCCCCTTGTGTGAGAGTGTGTGCATGTCTGAGTTTTCACATCCAAGGACAATTTATCAACAACAGACATGAATTCAAAATATTTGTATAAAAACAAACTCTTGCTGGGTGTCTGATGCAGTTCGATCACAAAAAAGAAAAAGAAAAAGGGGCTTGATCCCATTATTAAGGTTTTTTCTTGTTTATGTCTTCCTGGATGTTACACTGGATATAAATGTATCCTAAACTAAAATCAGATCAGGAGTAGGTGATATGAATCCTCTATCATGGTATATGCAACTTCAGACAGTCAAATTCCTGTCTATGTGTACATATACTTGGCCAATAAAAATTATTCTGATATTGAGATATTGACAGAAATGTAAATCTTTTTGGTAAATTGGGTACATTAAATACTTGGCAAATCAAAGTGGTTTATCACATTGATGGAACAAACAAAAAAGCAAATATTGCCAAAAAGTTCATTAATTAATTAGCAACATTGGCTAAAATGGCAGAATGAGGCAGAGTTTCCACAGTATAAACTGTATAGAAATATCTCTGATGGTTAATACGTTCCTCTCAGAGTATGCCTCATCACATAACTCAACTATTACAGATCAGATTAACCAGTACATGTCTAGTAGAGAGACTCGATTGTAAAGCACACTATGACATAGTGAAACAACATTTCTGCCTTATCCTACATGTTACAGATGCAGTAACATCTATATTAATGCAGGTATAGAGCCTTGACAAAAACACAGAGGCAGAGGTTATATATAGGGAGAGGGAAATATGCAGCTGTCTGTTTCTAACAGATTTATGGAAGAGGATACACAAGAAAGAATACTGATACTGAACACAAATTAAAGGAAAAGGTGTATAATCAAATATGGCATACGTGTACACAGTATGTCTGCTTATGTCTACAACACTGTAAACACTTGTCTAATTGTTTTGTTGTTATTGTTGTTTAGTATTTTGTCTGTTTTGTCTGTATTCAGTCGTGTCACCAGATCAGTTTTTTGGGAAAATGCCCTGGGTGTTCTCGTGGCCAGTCACTGTAGTACAAATATGTCTTTCAAGGAAAAATATAACATATATTTCACAGCATGTTTGTTTATTGACGTCACGTCTACGCCGCTACATGACGAGGAGGAGACTCCGCCCACACATTACATCACTCCATAAAGCCGTATTCAACCAGGGGCTCCGCCATTTTAACTTCCTGCTTCAAAAGAAGACGAGCTACTCGCACAGTATTTCTACACGAAACGTGTTGTTATTTAGCGTAACATAGGGGTCTTGTCTTGTTTATTTCCCCCACAGGGATCAATCTAACTACCTCTATTAGTTTCTGACAGCGTGTGTCGGTTAGTTTCAGCCGGAGAGTCGCGATGCCGAGCCACCCGCTGCGTGTAGCGGTTGTGTGCTCGAGCAACCAGAACCGCAGTATGGAAGCGCACAATATCCTCAGGTAAAGATGGGCTGCCGGGAGGAGAAGAAACGCGACACGACCTCGAAGTGAACTAAATGTGTGCGGTATCGAGACGTTTTCTGAGCCCGTTACGAGTCACGGCGGCTGACAGTCCGTCGGGCCTCGGCGCTGTTAACAATGGACACCGCTCCTCCGGGTGTTACACCGGGCCTGCGGCGTGCTTAAAACGCTAGGGTTAGATGAAGTGTCAGGTTTGGGGTTGCCTAAAGCAAACCCCCTCACATTTTTTTTGCTTTGCTTACAAGCACATTCGTGTTTTTCAAAATACCGGCCCATGTTTTTAAGTCGTTTTCCCCCCACACACGTTGACAAGAGCGCCCCCCGGTAGGAATATTCCGGAAGAGAGGAACTGCAGCGGTGCAACACTGGCTCTGCTTTGCCCCATTTTTAGACTTTTTGTGTTTTGATTTATTAGGTTTTAAAGGGTGTGTGTGCTGGTTTGGAATTGTCCAAACATTTCTCACTTGGTCTCATTTCCTAGTAGCTGTTCTTTCTCACTGGAAAGCTGTGCACCTCTGTCTAGTGCAGAAGGATTTACAGACCAACAATAGTCTCAGTGACAGTCACCTGTATCTCTGGTCAGCTGAAATTTTAATAAAAATAAATTCCCCTTTCAAATTTAAAAAGGAAAGCTCTCTTAGGTAATATGTTTTTAGGCTCATTCTGATGCAGCAGTGGAGAGACGAGCTGATATGGACCTACACTGTTGGTGTGCAGTCATGTCTTAATTCAGCCTCTTGCATATAATAGAACCACATTAAACATTCAGTTCAGATGTTTGTGAGGAGATGGTGTGAAAACTGACTTCACAGGCTACCTTGCACTTAAGACATGGACAGACTGGTTATTGCATTCTACTTGTATGTGATCTGTGAAATGGTATGTTATTTACTGTCTTGTCCTTTTCGTCTTTGCAGCAAACGTGGATTTGATGTACGTTCATTTGGGACGGGGTCTCATGTGAAGCTACCCGGTCCTGCCCCGGATAAGCCAAATGTGTATGACTTCAAAACAACTTATGTACAGATGTACAACGACTTGGTCCGCAAGGACAAGGAACTGTATCCCATTCTCACTCACTTTTACAGACACACACACACTCTATATACTGGAAGCCAGATAAGTAAACATAGCCCATGTCCATGTATCTTGTTTAGATATTAATCTTTGTGGGAGTTCATGCGAGTGTGATGGCGTTTGAACGGCACAGCAGATGGAACTGCACCGATGGGTAAATCACATGCAGGGATTTTAAAATGTGTTAAAGATGAATGCTTTTGTTATTAAACCTATCAAATAGGGCGGTGGGAAAAATGCCGTGCAATACAACAGCTGTGAAACAGTAAGTGCAATTTGGTGAAGTTTTTGCTGAGGCCATCAGATTTAAATCCTTACTCACTTTGAAGATTTTAGCTTATATTGCTGAGCATCTGTATTTAATGAAAGTCTTCATGTTACCACTTGTCTCCTGTAGTTGTTAATTGCTGTAATTCTGAACTGAATTGCTGATGAATCAGTAATAAACACTTAAACTTGGGTAACGTTAAGAAAGCAACCACAGGCAAGCTCCTGTTGGCAAAGAAAAACAGCATTTTACAGAAATAAAACCACAACCAGATATCAAGGGTAGTTTTCCCGACATTAAACCAGGAATAGAATAGATATTGACTGTAGTGCCCCAAGGACAGTGAAAAGATTAATTACAACCACTTGTGCTATTCCTTATTAGTGAGACTACATGCACAAGCCTCCAAACCCAAGATGCAAAAAAAAAAACCCAGACCACATTACAAAATCCTGTAATTTGCAGGAGCCAGAGAGAGTGATAGTGATTTCCACTGCATTTGTTTTGTACATACACAAAACTTTCTGAAACTTTTATTTCATTAATACTGCAGTTATTGCTCCTGTCAAGTGCTGGATGGTGGTACTTTCTGGTCTTCTCAGTTTAAATAATCCATGTCTCCACTGTTATTTAATAGTCTAATCTGCCCCCTTGCACTTCTTTTATTGCTGCAATATATCTGTTTTCAGATAATTTAATTGTTTAATTAAAGACTATGCTTAATGTAGGACTATTCCTCTAGCACGTCTAAGAAAAAAAGTCCCACTGAATTATTCTGGTTAAATAATTGAAAATCTTAAAAGTAGGACAGATGTGCTTCACCAAATTTTTACTTACTATTGTGCTATTGCTGATGATATTACTGTATTGCAGGTGTAAATTTTGCTAACCCACGGTAGGTTGAGAGGTCAAATCTGTATTCCTGCATATGAAAGGTGCTGTGTTACAAACTAATGTCGCTGCCCTGTTAATCCCAATGTATTATGAATAGAAGATGTACATGCTGCCTCTTATAAAACTCTACTAGTTGTATTCTTGCAACTTTGCATGGATTTCTAAAAAATATAGTCTAAAGACAATTTACCATTGTGGTTGGTCTCTTTTTAAACTTATATATTTGACAATGTATTGCAAGGTGGCCCTTTAGTGTAGGCTTGTCGATAACATTAATATTAAAACTGTGGATTAATCGCAGTCAAAAGTGTAACATTTTAACAGTACTGCCCTGATCATTTACCTTTTGTTTTTCAACAGAGCACTAATGAGTGATAGGCTTCCCAGGCACCACTAGAGGGTGCTACAGTTTGTATAATAGACTGAATGACACCAGGCAAGTGTGCACTCCACAATGGAAACAATATAGTGTCCCTCAGACAAATTAATATCTTGGTTTCACACAGGCTTATTGGTTGTTGGCAGGTATTTTTCAGTGTTCAGGTGATTTGACATGATAGTGTGATGTATTACCTTGAAATATTTGTCCCGCTCCTGCTGTATTCCTTGACCTCCCGACTCTTCAGATACACACAGAACGGCATTCTGCACATGCTGGACCGCAACAAGCGCATCAAATCAAAGCCGGAGCGCTTTCAAAACTGCAAGGATAAGTTTGACCTGGTCATCACCTGTGAAGAGAGAGTCTATGACCAAGTGCTGGAGGGTGAGGCTTCTCATAAGAAATGTCTAATCACTGAAGCGATATGGTTGATCATTCAGAGCTTTTTGGGGCTGCTTTCATACTTTTTGTTTGCACACATAAATCAAATTTCTACCCCGCAATGATTTGGTTGTAGACCAAGTTTTTTTTATATACCTCTGACTGTGTGGCTCTTTCATTTGCTTTTGTTCCCCAGATCTGAATTCAAGAGAGCAGGAGACTCTACAGCCTGTGCACGTCATCAATGTAGACATTCAGGATAACCACGAGGAAGCCACGCTGGGCGCCTTCCTTATCTGTGAGCTGTGTCAGTGTGTGAGTGTCTCCTACCAGGGTTATTAATTGCTGTTGTGCAGACAAACTGAGGGCAGCAACAATCAACTGAATTTAATTGAATTAAAATTATATATGCAGTTAATCTATATACTTGAATAATAAATAAAATGGTTTTGAAGTGTATATATAATTTACCATAAAATATTTGAGTGGAGATTCAGTGTTCACCTAATGAAAATTATCCCAATGCTATAAAAGTGACCTATAGATTAATAGTGTACAGAGATTCACTTGAGGTCACACGATGAACTGTGTGTGCGCACAGGCTGTGTTTAATGTGCTTCCTCCACCACCCCTGCAGATCCAGCACACTGACGACATGGAGAATGAAATCGATGAGCTCCTACAAGAGTTCGAGGAGAAGAGCAACAGGCCTTTTCTTCACACCGTCTGTTTCTACTGATACACAATAGAAATTTGCAATAAACAGACCCAGATCACAAGCAGTCAAACAATAATATATGGACGCACGCACATACATACTCACTCCTCAGTCATTTACGACACAGTACATACACATTGTGTGCCTACACATACACACAGACACACACAGAGCTTTTGGTCAGGACCTAACAAATGGCTGCTGTTGGACATTGGTGATGATGGGTTTTTCCTCTATGCAGAGGACGGACTCGCTGCTCTCGCTCTGCCTTTATTTCCCCGGATCAAGGTCAGGCCAAGGTCCTTCCTCCATCCCAGTCCAGTGAAATCACTCAACCATGTCTCCTCAGGGAGAGCCATAACACAAACACACACCCCAGATTCAACAATTCCTTTACAAGTCCCTCTGATTTTGTTCAGTGCAGCATATTAATGCTGATTTCTTTTTTTGTTTTGTTTTTTCAAGATTATATTGTGATTCATTTAAGCATATTTGTCAGATTTTTATTCCTGATCTGGGACAGTGTAAATGTGGAGGAGAATTAATTGAACTGAACGCGTGTTTTTGTGCGACCATGTGTTGTAGATTAGAATTAAGTTAAAGTGGGTGAGCTAGTAATGAATAACCAAACCTAGTCCTCTCTGAGGATCTCCTCCAATCTGTTACCAATATAATGTGTTGATTCATATTTAAACTTGGATATGCTATTTTTCAGGGCATAGTATTTTTTTCTTTTCTTTTGTAAATGTCAAAGAATTGAAGCATTGTAATTATTTGCAAACTGCGAGCTCAGCTCAAGAGTGCCTGATTTTTCTGTATGTACATATGAATCCACTAAAGAAAGAAACATCTCTAAGAAACATGTCATGAGTCTTTATTTGCTCTGTGATATTTAGTTTACGGTGGTTTCATGTAAGAGAATTAGCCAATGTAAAATTGAAATAGGCTATTGTTACATTAGTACCTGGTTACTTTCACATTTAATTACTGTCCGTTACTGGTCAGATGTAGCTTTCCGTTAGGTAGCTGGGGACCTCGTAAATAAATAAAGTTAGCAAGCTTACATAATAGGCAATATAACCTTATTTAAGTATCATCATGTATGTTACTTAAGAAACTAACGATAGCATACTACAAAGTAAGCATTAACTTACCTTGACGAACTAACGTTACCTAGGTGACCGTTAGTTCGAAAAAATGCAACTAAAAGGAGAAGGAATTCGATTTGTGACGACCAACGTTACCGTTACTAAGAGTAACCATGACAACTTATTTCGGTCATTGTAATGAAACAAACAGTTGTTTGTTAAAACTGCCGGTGACCGGGGAACTCACTGGTAAGTTACATCACTTACCGACTGGTTCTCATTATCGTCCGACAGAAGAAGGCAGGACCGAGCGGATGTTAGGCACGGACAGATACCGGGAGACTCAGGAGCCGTCTTTAGTCTTGGAGAGCGCTAATATGTAAGTTAAGACTCAAACCCCGCCGACAGTCAAGGAATAAATCGATATCAGTTATTAATTACGGTACTTAATCATGATTTAAACCTGTATTTCTGGTTCCGTTGTGTTTGGAAATATTACAGTGAGTATCCCAGCGTACTTCAGGTGTTGTTTTGTTTCAGATGACGAGTTTTCCGATGGGCATGAACGCGCTTTTTCATCGCTTCCACTACTTCATTTCACAGTTAGTGCGAGGGAAGGACCATGTCTGCGCCTGCACATGTGGAAGGTAAAAAAACATATGACTTCTCACCTTGAAACCCTGGGTATGTATTTTCAGCTCAGAATATCAAGTCAGACTGTGCTGCTGATGCAGAGGGATCAGCACACCTGTTCCCTCTGGTTTCTGTGACTTCAAGGTGGTGTGTGTGTGCAACCTGTATGACCTGATTGACCCCACAGGTCAGCTGTTGGTGATGCACTTTCCACTGTGGCAATATGGTGTAAACCTTTATTTAGAGCTGCACCAACATATCAGCAATGACAATTAGCTGCTGGCAGCTGTAGAACAGTCTCACTCAGTGTTTTATAGAAGAGGCGAGTCACATCACCTGAAATAAAGACCAGGTCTGTTATAACATCATAGTGAACGTTTTATGAAAACAACATTAACCACCGGGGGAAGGAGTATTTACTCAGTTCAAACTGTCGTATTATCAATTATTGTGGGTTTTGTTTTGCCTTACATTTACTAACTCGATTACGAGATGAGATGTGTCAAGATCTGGGTAGCTCACCACCTCTGACAATCAATTTCCTAAGGGATAGCCTGGGTAAGATGAAAGACTATATGTGTTATTATGGGTCAAGATAATTCTTCCACCATAAAACACATGTAAAAAGTCTCTATAATCTGAATAAAACTGCAAAAGAATTGCATTATTACACAATTCTGACTTTCACATCATTTTCATAGAAAAACCACAAACTGTGTGTCTTATAAGACTATTATACAAATGCATTTTAGTATACTGGTATTGTACAACAGGGATGTGAAGATATCAGATTTTGTGATCATCTATCCACATCCTTATTGTCTTCAGTATGATAAGATTGTCTCTTTAATTGCTCTCACTACCGGCTACTGCTCTGTGTGCTGCAGGCATCAAGTCTATCATGTCGTTCCGTATAACGAGGTCCAGTCCATGGTGGTTTCCAGAGAAAACAATTTTTTAAGTGACATCTTGACCCAGCAGAAGATGGACGTGATAGTTGGACTGTTCTTGGGTATCTGCATCAGCTATGTCTTGCTGTGGCTGAATAGAGTTTGGTTTCCAGGATTTAAAATCTGGAGGGCGGACCAAATGAATGGTGAGTAAGAAGCCAGCTGAAATCAAATTTGAATGTGGGGAAAGCTGAGCGTTTAAGAAAGGCCCCATGCAGTAATTATACCATATATGGTACATTTATATATTTAAGCTTCAGCATTCTTGTGAAGTTTTATTATAATTTTTTTCATTATTTAAAGGAGCACATAAAGAAGAAAACGTTACCAACATAGTTTTACGTAACCGTAACCCACAAAACTTAAGATATGAGTTGACAAAGTGTAGAAAGGAGTTTGAATACTTGGAAAAGTGTGAAAGGGGTGAAGAATGCAAAATATAGTATATGTTAAAAATATGGTGCTCCTGTCCCTTAGAAGATAATGGAGCAAATAGTGTAAGTCTTTGTGTTTGCGTCTGTAGTTACATGTCTGCAACTGGCAAAAAATATCAGATGTTTTGATGTAAAACTTATGTATGTGGAGGGAGAGAATAAGTTGAAGAGATTTTTTTATTGTCTCACACTAGTTCTGAACATTCTGCCCTAAAAACAATAATATCAAATCACAGAAGGGCTGAAAATTACATACATTTTGAACTATGACTGTGTAAAAAGTATGAAAGATATGAAATTAAGTGTTATGCCTGTTTGAAAGTGTGAATACAGTTTCTGTGTGAATATATATGAATGAGTGGGGAGAAGTTGAATATGGTTGAAGTGAGTTTGAAAGGTTTGACTTCCACAGTAACCACTTCAAAGAAAGTTCAGTATCTTGAAAGGTTTTAATGGGATTTGAAGTTTAAATAATACCTAAAATGTCTTGAAGATGTGGAAAATTTGAAAGTATGAAACATGTGAATAAGAATTCTATGTTGAAAAATGTGGGTGTAATAATCATAAAGAAGACAAACACAGGCTGTAAGTGCTTCACACCCAATCCGGTATTAGGTCATCGATTACATAATAGAGTTTCAAGGAAAGTTTTTCCATCTTTTCCTTCCTCTTACTACTCAGATTTTTCACTTCCTCTTATTTAATGCCACAAAATGAACGTACTCCTCTTCCTTACAGACACTTACAAACACAACACACATTTAAGACCCTTTCACCAGCCCAGTTTTCCTGTCTTTCTTTCCAGATATGGGTTTCTGGTCACGGATACCCAAATTCAGCGGTTCAGTTACATCCAGAACACACGGAGGACTCCAGGGGGATTATGATGGACATGAGACACAATGTGTACCATAATGTTAACGGAAGCATTTGACTCTCAGAGATAAAAGTATGGATACAATTCAATAGTTACTGTGTGTGTTTTGTGTTCTGTTAGAACTCTAAGAGTCCAAATACGACTATTTAGTCGCATTATTTTATGGCCATTTACACAACAAAGGACTCTGGCTGGACTCAAACCAGGGATGTTGCGATTATATGGTCACCCTATCTGAAAAATTAGTCATTTTTTTCTTTTTTGAACATCAGCAGAATAGAACAGAAATCATGAGTACATGAGATTAAAACAATAAATGGTTACAATGAAAGAGCTAAAATATGTAAAATACATATCTTAAATCAACTTTCTTGCATTAGATTCGGATGTGTTTTGTTTTTTTAAATTATTGTAAAACTTTGATGCAATAAACAATAATAGATATATACCATGGGTAAAGATAAATTGAGACTTTCTGTGTCTTTTGGGCGAACATCATATTCACAAAGGCAGATTTCATCTTCCCAACAAAATCATGTTTATGTTTAACTTTTTTTAGAGCTATTAAAGAGATTTAAGCTTTAGAGAAATATCGTTGTAACTTTGCTTATTCACTTTTGTAAATTGTGTCTATTTTTTATTTATTTGTATTTGTTCTCTCTTTATTTTAGAGTATTTAGAGTATTATTTATCTGTTTTCATGTTTTTTTTAAAGCATGTTTTGTTTCTGTGACTGTTATCTATTATCCCCCCCCCCCAATACTCCATGTACATTATATTGTTGTATGTGTTGTCCTGTTACTACCCTGTGAATAAAGGAGACAGAAAGGTAAATAAAGCATCAAACAGTTCCGGATGTGTAGCTATCATGTCCGGTTAGTGAGACGCGTCAGTGCCGCCGCCATATTGCAGCGCAGTTGTTGTCAGTGGTCAGAAATGCCGGACTGTTGCGCTGCAGTTGGATGTTCCCATCAGAGGAGTGCCAGGACAAAAGAGCAGGGGATCACATTTCACAGGTGAGGAGTCCGCGTACAGGTGCGGCTGTGTTGTGTCACGTCTCACGATCCGTAGACATTATTTTAAGACAGCATAAAGTGAAATCACACCCGGTTTGTGTTGAGACGCGTCTCTGTCGCCGCCATGTTGCGGCGGGGTCGCGGTCAGTGTAATATGAGTATTAATTTAGTGTCGGTAGAAAATGCCTCACTTTTGTGCTGCTGTTGGATGTTCCCAGAACCAAGCAACAGGGAATAACCTTTCACAGGTGTGAAGTTATTCTACCATATTTCACTTATATAAACGTACGACTGAGGAAGGGAAGCCTTGTATACATCTGTTCTCTCGGTTTACAAATCCATATATATACGGATTAATAATAATAATAATCCGGAGTTTATAATCCATGCCCCTGGATTTGTAAACCGAGCGAACAGATTGACACATGGGTCTTTTTTCTTCCATACAAACGTGTTTGTGATATCTGACAATAAAGTATACTTATTTTAAGGTGATATAAGTTACTGTCCTGATACTAAGTTCAGCTAATTTATGTCGGCTAAAGAAAATAATTGTTATTAATGTGATATATCATTAAGCATCAGCCTTGTTACACTGAGTTAATTTTGTGTTGTTCACCTCTCGTTCAAACATGCAGCCCCAAGTAACGGCACAACCCTGCTGATACACTGGATACAGCTATATTCTGTGTATAGTGTGTGATTTAAAATGTTTATAGCAATGTGAATATTTCACTAAGACTGTATTTAAAAGCACTATTTTGAAGCCTAACATTTTTAACTTTAGTGTTTGTTGTTAGAAGTTTTCATAATCAAATTATAACATGGCAGACAGTTTTCAATACAGTAAGAAAAAATAATATACATGTATATTTTGGTATGAAAACTGAAACAGTAGCTTGTATCATAAAATAAATGTATCTATAAAGTGACTGCCCTGTTAGTAAGATGAACAGTTTTATTAAAGTAAGTCAAAATACCAATAAGCTGCTGATATTGATATTTATCAGCAAGCTATGATGCTTAATGTGTTATTGTGTAAAGTCGTCCTAAATCAGTGTTTATAGTGTTTCTCAGATGGATGTGTTGTTGTTTTGTGTCCAGGTTCCCAAAAGATAAAGTTAAAAGAAAGGCATGGAAAGCAGCATTAAGGAGAAGAGACTTTGAGCCAAATGACCGCTCAGTCATCTGCAGCTGTCATTTCAAGACCGAAGACTTTGACATGACAGGGCAGACAACTCGTTTAAAGGAAGGAGTGATCCCATCAGTTTTTATATTTTCTGACCGTCTTCGAAAGGTTAGTGTCATTGGCAAATTGCCTGCTAAACGTATCAATACAACTAAACTAAAATTGTACTTACTGACGTTTTATTATCTCCAGGTGCCCAGAAAACCCAGGTCAAGCAGGACCTCGCAAAAGGCTGCTGCAGAAATTCATCTCCAGGTGCCGATTACACCCGGGTCAAGCAGGACCTCACAAAAAGCTGCTCCGCAAAGTCCAGATGGTCCCGTTCAGCTGTCAGAGAGTCAATCTGAGGAGTCGACCTCAGTGAGTGAAACTATTGTTGTTTTAAGCACCTTTTGAAGAATGCTGGGCTTATTTTATAGTGTAATTTATAAAGTGAGGAAAATCATTTTAAGTTGAAATGAACACTTTTCAGGATCATCAGTATGCCCTTGACCCAGTTAACATAAAAAGAAAGTTAACCGAGGCTCAGAAGAGGGTGGAGGAATTGCAACGGGACTTAAGAAACGCCAAGGATCGGGAAAGGAGGCACAAGAGGATAGTGAAATATCTACTAAAGGACTTAAAGCATAAAAATATGCTGACAGCGGAACTGCAGCAGGAGCTGGACTCGGGTTGGTTGAATTGCACAGGTCCTTTCATAACACAAAGCATATGTAAAATGTATAAGTTCTCTTAGAAATCATCCTTATTGAGCAGCCATCTACATCAATTCATTTAATACTTTCTAATTAAAGTGTCCAGCATTCAATTTGCTGTAACATTAATTTCAAACCAAATATATAAATAAATAATATGTCATATCTTGTCCTGGTATCTTCATTAATGTTTCGCTGGTTGTTCCAAACTTTCCAGATCATCCAGTTTAACTCTTCAAGCAGCACCATGCCGTCACTCCAGCTCAGAAGCAATTTGCTTCAACACTTCATTTGCATGGACCTAAAGCCTAAAAGTACTTGAAAGAAAAACCCAGTGATGGTACCACTCCCATCAGAAGTGAGGTTCAGGATGACCCTCGCACATAAACAATAACCGGCTTTGTGGATCTCGGGAGATGGCGTTGATGAGAGCGATGTGGCAGGTGAATCTTTTGTGTTTGTGGTTGTTGGACTGCAAGGCCACTGGAAGATGCCCTTTGCTTCCTTTTTTATTCTGACATTGAAACCAGACATTCAGAATATTTGCTTCAGCAGGCCTTAGAGGCACTACATGAGATGGTCCTCCTACAAAATACTGTTTTTTTAATACTTTTTTATCTTCTTGCTGATATACTGTATGTATAGTTTTTGTACATAATGTGTGAATTTAAATGTAAATGAAAAAAATATGAATCTTTCACTATGAATGTGATATAAATTTAATTGTGAAGCCTTCCAGAAATTTACTTGATCTTTTAACTAAAATGTTTGTCTTTTTAAAAAAAAATTAAGTCTTGATTTTGAAATGATGAATAGAATATTCAGTATCATAAATACATGTCTGTCATTTGTAACAAACCAAATTGCTGGAAAATTGGTTGAAAATTCAGCAAGGGAGATTATTTTAATTGTGGATTTGAATGTGTCAAATATATCAGTGCAATGAGCAGCAGAGGCTAATGCAGTATCTACGTGTGTATACTTGAGGCAGTTTATCAGTGCAGCTCCCTCTGGAGCTACAGAAGACTTTATTCCACTTTTTGAAACATGCAGTAGTACTCCCCAAGACCTGTAAACAGACCTTGATGTTAGAAATTGGTTGGGTTCCTCGTGAAGCAGTAAACTACGGATAATTTTCAAGTGAGGTGATCTTTTTGCAGGGTTGTGAGCACACTGGATACTTCTGACAAGTTCACCTGGGAACTGGATGTCAAAAATGGTCATAGGTTCATATCACATTCTGGTCTGTCATTAAAGGAGTACGGTGTCTTTTAATTAATTAATTTTCAGTGAATGTTTTGGTAATGAAGTTGAGTTGAATAGTTCCCTTTCATCATAAAAAGCCCTTCCCTTTCTGATTCAGGATTACCATATTGTTTGGTTATTATGCAATCCCGTACATCAGAGTACATGAGGGCGTTCTATAATGTCTGACAGGGAGTTTTTATCATGTGGCCTATTACAAACCAAGGACAGCTTCTTGCCCTTGACTTTGCAGCTTCCTGAAGCTTGCATCCATTACTGTGAAATATTGTAATCCTATAGGACGCCGTTGCCGCCTCATCCAATCATAACCGCCCCTCTCTGCTCGCTCCTCTGCCGTTATGTACTGTGTTGCTAAAACCATATACTGTATACATTTATAATGCTTGACAATGTCATTGCAAGGTCTGGTGTCTCCAAACAGCACATCAGCATTTGATAAGGATTTTGAGTTGGACATTATGTTTTGCCACTGACTGACAAAATGTAGCTTCCTGAAAGACACTTTAACTCAACTACCTTTTAGGCTGCATGTCAAAGTGACCCAAATCTGCTCATGTGACTCAGATCTGTTTTTTTCCTTACAGTGTGAACAGCAGATATCACATGAGTCTGATCTTTTCAAGTCTGAATCAGATATAGGTCTCATTGTCATATCAGAATTCATGTGACTTTTACCTCACCCTTGATTGAGATTCATCATGCACCATGTGACCTGTTCACACTGGAATCTGATATATTAAAAAGATTATGTGAACCGCCCAACAAAAAAAAATCTGTATTGAGAGCTAAGGCTTTCAGTGTGAACGTATCCTTGTTTTAAACTGTAATCCAAGCTACAGGTAATGTAATATCATATAGCAACAATACCCCAACAGGTTGTTAAGAAGAAGCAGAGCTTTTACTGTTTATAAAAAACAGATCCATTTAATCATTTCAACAGACACTCCACAGTGCACAACATTTATATATCGTTATTACAGACAGTCTGGTTTGCATTCAAAGTACACTTTTACGAGCTATACATTATATAATATTAGAATGAAAGCCTCTCGGTCATTTGTGTTTTGTTAATCGACTATCTCCTCCAACCTGCTGAACTCATCTTCTGTCATAGAGAGCCCAACAGACTCTTGGACATAAACTGACAGATTAGTTGAAAGGGCAGAACACTACTCCTCATAATCCAGGCTGTCCCACTGAAATCTATTGCTCAAACTGGAGTTCCATCCTTCGGAGGAGAAGATCCAGTTTTGTCTTCCTTTTCCACCTTGCCCTCAATGTCAGTGGAGGCAGTAGGTTTGACTAAACTCTCTGCTGTTGTTGCAGCTTCTGCTTTAACAGCATCTTCACAGTGCTGTCCAGTTGGTGTGGCACTTATGCCTTCTCCTGATTGGTCGATGTCTGAAGGAGGTAGTGTACCTTCTAGTTTTGTATTTGTCTCAAGGACTGGTGCAATCACCTCCTCGGCCTTAGGTGCCTCACTGAGGGGCAGATTAAAGCCCATTTTGCCTAGACCGCCTGCCCCAACTGGGGGAGGTGTGAGGGTCTTGGTCTGAGCCTCCTCCTCTCCATGCAGCCAGTCCATCTTCTGAATGTGCTGCTTGATGGCGTCATCAACACGAGCGTCAATCATAGCCTCCGTCAGGACACCATCTTCAGAGGAATATGCGGCCGCCTGCGAGACAACACGAGACAACATTAATTTACTCCACAAAAATGTAAATCTCGTAGCGTTAAGATCGTCAGTGGTTACGGGAAACTTACCTGCCAGGCCACACCCAGCTTAGAGATCTCTCTTCCTGACATGCCCTCTGTCCGCTTCGCTATCTCAGAGCACTTTTTACCGTAGTCAAACTGTGCCAGCTTCATCCTCCTGCACAACCACAGATTAGAGGGGGGCAAAACAAGTTATTTCTCCACTGTTTTGTTGGTCAGGAATGTAATTTCTTTCTGACTTTGTTGTGTTTTTGGAGCCCAGTTCATTGTCATCTTTCAGCCCCATTCACACAAATGATCTCTCTGTAATTGCTGTACTTCGTCTACTCCGGGCCTCAGCCAAGGATCACTTTATCGAATAATATACGACTCAAAATCAGTCAGAATTAATACCTCTATGTGATCAGTGAGCAAGCAGACATGGTGGACTGAGCCTAATTAACTTGTTTTAGATGCCTCCCTGGTGTGCAGTGGCTATTTTAACAGCTGTGTTGTTGCGTGGGGATTGTACTCACTGCCTCCCTCCTGTGGCGGGCTCCAGCACATATTTGTCAAAGTACAACCGCACTAGCCTCTCCCTCTCCTCAGGACCCGGCAGAGCAAAATTCACTATTTCATCTATACGGTCGTTTATGGCCCAGTCAAATTGCTCTGGTTGGTTACTGGCCAACACCAGCATGAACCTGCGGTGGGGGGGGGGAAGAAATCAAGCAGGTTAGAAACGTGCTGGGAAGTAGTTATCGGCAAGGCAAAATGAAGTGAAGAGAACAACACATTTAAGGTTAGAGCCCCAAATATAAATATAGTTTACTTGTTGCTCTGTTCTCCTGTGCGATACAAGAATGCATTCAAAGTGGCTCTGAGATCTTCACTGATCTTCTCCTATAAAAAAAAATAATAATAAAGATTTGATATTCGTTAAAGATCAAGAGAATTAAAAGGGTAAGAAAATATATTTTGTAACAAAAACATGTCGGGTTTCTGCGGAATAAAATATATGCAGACTTACAGTGGATCTCTTGCGAAGGAATGCATCAGCTTCATCAACAAAAAGCAGAAGTCTGTAACGTGATAAAAACTCATGAAGCCTCCATCTGTTGATATTAAATCTAGAGTGGACAGTATATAATGACAGTAATATATGAAGTAGCCTTACCCGCGTCGACTTGTGCCAGCCCAGTCAAACACTTTGTGCATGGCTGTCACACCATCGCGACCCATTGGTGCCACATCACCACCAGTCATAATCGCATAGTCCATCCCAGAATGCACTGCCAGCTTCTGCTCGGTACAAAAAGAAAAGCCTCGCAGTCAGACACAGTGTCACTTTCCACACATGCAAATGTTCACATCATTCAGTCCTCGGGTTTACCTTAGCAAACAGAGTTTTGCCTGTGCCTGGTGGGCCATACATGAGGATGTTCCTGTACAGGCCGTTGTTCTGCCTCGTGTTTCTTGTTGCTATGGCGATGTCACGCACACGCTCTTCCAGGGAAGGCTAAGAGATAGAAAAATGCATTTATATCAAGTGGTTGCAAAACTTTACAAAAGGATGTAATGATTATAACATTGTAATTTGACACTTCGATGTCCACTTACACTGAGAACAACCCCCTCCAGGGCATCCTGAGGTTTGCTCTTCAGACGTTTGGCCGTCTGAATAGTCAAGATAAAGTATAATTAGCACATTATAATCTTCAGTTAATTAAATGAGCGAAGGATCAATTGCCAATTAGCTACCTTGACTGGATGCTTGATGGCCTCTCCCACAGTGAATCGAGATGTTTCCCGCACCAGTGACGGCTTCCCGAGCCTGGCCTCGATGTATCGTCCCGCCACTGCTGTTGCATTTCGAGCCGAATAAACTCCCACAGCTAAAAGGGTCAGACCTGCCACCTGGTGATGGAACAGTTACACAACATTAACGTAGGTTCAACGCCACTCCAGAGGACAGACTTTGTCGTGTGAGCTACGTGAAACTTAGAATGAAGTTTACTGTCCTGTCTACGAGGACACAAGGATGATGATGAAAAACCTGAACTGAGCCCCAAAAAGGGAGCCTTTCTTATACTGAACTTTTTGTGCCAAGCTTGGAAGAGAAGGCAGAATATTTTAAGACTGAGCTGTATAATAATCTGTATAATAAAATGTTTAGCCACTGTAACTGTATTTTTGGTGTCTTCTCAGTCCAAACGTTTAAACAGAAATGTTTGGTTACTCTTGTCTATTGGATGTTGTCAACGGTGTAATACTAGAAAAAAGTGTAATAGAAGAATTGTTATGTTGTTACTTCTATTTAACAGCATTTGTGGGGAAAGATGAGTGCCAGTCATTATTAATAGAAGGATCTTTATGAATAGACAGGCTTAATCTGTATAGCACATGTGATATGTTGGTACTTTTATACCTAACTAACCTTTATTTTGTAGAGGATATTTTACCCAGCCCGTCTTCCAATCAGAGAAATTCAGCTCTTATTGTGTATTTTTAGTATAAATCATTCACTGAACTGATTGTGGATGGAAACACATGTCTCACCGTGGCTGTGACTTTGTCCCAGTCTGACACAAAGGCCCTGAATCCTTCTCCAAACACAGTACCTGCAGTCCTAAAAGCAAATATCAGTTAACGGTCAAGCATGCCTTTAGGGTGTTAACAGGATGCAACTGCTGATTAACCATTTACTGAACAAATAAAACTGCCCATTCCCATTATACACATTAGTATATGTTCAACTTGCATGATTCAGGACACCAAGAACCATTTATATAATTCATTTAAATCCTCACCATCATGACAACTACAGTGTTAAATCTTACTTTATGGACTCCAGGACAGTTTGTCTGTGTTCTGCAGCCTTCAGACGGATCTGCTCGCGGATTATATCAGCGTTCTCCCTCTCCACGCGGGCTCGCGCTTTAGACTCGGCCTCGATACGCAGAAGCTCGTTCTTGTGCCTCAGCTCCATCTCGTGCTCTATCGTCGCTATAAAAACCGTAACACAAGTATATAAAAGCGCCGCTCAACAAGCTTCTACACAATCCTGTCATTAGTGTCACACCGGTGAGGGTATACCTTTCCTCATGGACTCCTGTTTCTGGACAGACTCCTCCTGTTTGCGAAGGTTCTCCTCATTCAGGGCTTGCTGTGGAGAAAAGAAAAGATTTTTTGGGGTAAAACAGCTCATTTTAAAGCCCTATAAATTAAAGATGTAGGAGATAACCTCACCTGTTGCCGTAGTTGGTCCTCATATCGCTGTCTGGCCAGTTTATCTTGATACTGAGCTCTCTGTAATGGGACA